CTGCAAAAGGAATGTTAATATGCAGTTTCTTAAAAACATCAAGAAATTTAATAAACTGCTTATCCTGATTTTCTTTTCTGAGTCTTTGAGGAAAAGGTACGGGTGGTGTGTGATGCGCCAACTCCGGTGGTATCTCAGGGAATGGCAATTTCTCTTTCCTTTTCTTTTACCCCTCTTCCTGCTTCTGTTCATCTTTCCTTGGGCTAGGTGGTTTCTCTTCAACAATGATTTCTTCATCAACTTCCTCATCAGATTCTTCATTTTTCTTTTATGAAGTTTCCTCTTTCCTTGATTTTTCCACCTCTTCTAAAACTGTCCCACTTCTCAATGAAATTGCATTTACTTGCTCACGTGGGTTCGTCACCGTGTTGCTTGGTAGAGATCCCTACAGTCTCTCATTTAGCTTCTCGGCCAATTGGCCTATCTGTACCTCAAGATTCCGAATGGACACCCCTTGATTTCTGAAATTTGTCCTCGTCTCATTCATCAAACCCGTGGTCTCCTGCACGAATTTCCCAAACATGTCCTCCAACTTTGTCACTCTTGGATCTCCCGGTTGATTATTCATCCCTGGTTGGTTATTCGGCAAAGTTCTTTGGTTCCATTGATTATTTTGCTAGTTATGATTGCCCCAAGCCAGATTTGGATGATTTCTCCACCCTGGATTGTATGTGTTGGAATACGGGTTGTTTGGTTGCCTCTGATTTCTTGCCAAGTAGTTCACTTGCTCTGATGATGAAGATGATGAAGCAAATGTGTTCCCCACTTGACACTTGCTGCTCACATGGTTCCCTGCACAAAAATCACAAGTTAGTTGAGTTGTTTGAATAAAGTTTACCTGCATACTTCCCAACTGTTTCTGAAGTGCCGTGAGTTGGGCTGAGATGGCTGTGAAGGCATCAACTTCATGAAGACCCGTAGATTTTCTTGATATTGTTCTCTCATTTGGTGTTTGATAGTTGTTGCTTGCCAAAACCTCAAGCAACTCATAAGCCTCCTCTAGTGTCTTATTCTGCAAGGCTCCTCCTGATGTTGCATCCACCATGGTTTGCACGTTACCCATCAGTCCATTGTAGAAAGTTTGGACTTGAAGCCAAACTAGCAACCCATGGTGTGGACATTTCCTCATCAATTCCTTGTACCTCTCACAAGCCTCATACAATGACTCAGATTCATCTTGTAGAAATGATGTGATATCATTTCTCAGTTTTGCTGATTTTGCTGGAGGGAAGAACTTGTTCAGGAACTTCTGTGCTAGATCATTCCAAGTTATGATAGTCCTTGATGGTAATGCCACTAACCACCCCTTTGCTTTATCCCCAATGAGAATGAGAATAACCTCAACCTAATGGTGTCATCTGACACTCCATTCGACTTGAAGGTGTCACAAATTTCCAAGAAGTTCGCAATATGCTGATTCGGATCTTCCTTCAAATCACCATTAAACCTTACTAACTGCTGGATCATCTGAATGATTGTCGGCTTAATCTCAAAGTTGTTGGCTTGGATTGTAGGCCTAGTAATACTCGACCCACTGCCATTAACCGTGGGAACTGAGAATTCCCTTAGTGTCCTGTTTTCTGGTTCTGCCATTTCAACAACTATTTCTTCTGATTCAACCACTATATCCTCTCTTTCTCTTCTTTCTCTGTTAAGTTGTCTGGCGGTTCTCTCAATCTCAAGATCAACAGGAACCACTGGCTGACGTCTCGCTCTTCGCATAAACTGCACAGAATTAACGAAAGAAAGTGAGATCACAAACCAACTGAAAATTGAAAACAAAAATTAAAACTTCAATCTAGCTAACTATAGAAAAACTCAATGTTAACTTAAAACTCAATCCTCGGCAACGGCGCCAAAAACTTGATGCGTGTTTCCTACAACATGCAATATGCAGCAAGTATACTAGTCGCACAAGTAATAGAGTGATGAGTGAGTATCGTTCCCACAAGGATTGTTGCTAAGCACTAAGTTTTCTACCGTTTTTAAGTTGAACCAATCGAATTCTTTTGGATTTAAGGGAGCAATTTAAACTATAACTAAAACAAAATTTTACTAAAATAAAATTTAAACTATGAAAGCGAGATTTAAAACGAGATAAAATCAATTCAAACAAACGGGTAGGGTTTTGACTTCATTCGGACTCTATGGGTTAAACCTAAAGAATTAAACTAAAATCATAGTCACACGCATTGATTGTAAATCGAACTCTCTAAGGTGTCCAACATACCTTCTCAGGCTATGTTTTCCTACTCTTCCCTATTAACCTTCCGCACCCAACAAATTGAAAGTTAATAAATCTAAGCTCATTAAGCACAAGAATCCTAGATTGATTTCATCGGTTCTTGAATCTATCTCTAGCATCCAATAATACAATGGTGATTACCCAAGAAGCTCAACATGAATTATCTCTCAATCTCATCATGTTCATCACATACAAACAATAAATACAAAATAATCACACAATCAAAGCAAAATCATATGAAATTAATAATCATCAACTCTCTAACCCATTAGAATCCGAACTACATCAAAACTCTAACCCAAAATAGGTTAGTTCATGGCTAAATCAATAAAACAATTAAAAGAAACGAAAAACTCCAAGTTCAACATCATAGAAACAAGAGAAAAGGAAAAGAATCTCCCCAATTGATGAATCCACTGGTTTCATGATAATCATATTTTACACTATGATTTTGCATTGAATTTTGATAGGATTTAGGACACTTTTCATACAATTTGGGCTATAATTGCTACCTAATTCTATTAATTTGTCTTTGTAGGCCTAAATGGTGATTTTTAGCACAAATGACAGTTTTGAGCATAAATTGTGTAACTTGAGGTTAGAAACTCGGAATGACCTGAATTTGAAAGCTTTGGAAAGCTAAGAACAAGAGCTACAACTTTCATGTTTTGGGTTTTTCCTAATTATGACTGGACAAGGGTGAAAACTTGGCTTGAAATTGTTAACAGTACGCTGGGAACTGAAGAAAAACGTCTTTGGACGTGCTTAAGTATTTCTGCCATAACCTGAGCTTTAGACTTCGGATTGTGCTTATTCTTGAACGACCGGAAATAAAATTTAAAGGGCTACAATTCATATGTTTAACAATTTTTCAGATTCAGACTCTATCATACTCATATTTGGCCCGAAAGTCTTCACCGCGGCAAGGAAAGAGCTTCGCCGCGGCGAAACCTGCATCAGATGTAAAAATAAAACGACGTGGTTTAGCTTGCTAGGGCTTGGTCCTTAAGTGAGAGAGGTATAAATTAGAGCAAAAAGGAAAGAAAAAGAGTCTTGGTTCATCATTTGGGAGGCAGCTCATGGAAGGAGAAGATTATTGAAGATTTGAGCTTCAAATTAGAGAAGATTTCTCCATCTTTTGCTTGTTTTTGAATGATAAATCTTGATTCAGTTTGTTTCTGTTATTTTATTTCGTTTTTTACTATGAACTGAGTTGTTTAGCTAGGGTTTGATGTAATCTTGATACAATGATTCAAATTTATATGAATTGATTTACTTTGAGTTTTAATTTTATGATTGAGTGTTTATCTCTTTGCTTAATGACTTTTGAATGATTGATCACCATTCAAATGTGTGTTGTTCACAATGAGACTAAGAAGTGATTTGTGATTGTGCCTCTTGGGATAAATACCATAGATAAAGCAAACGCTAGAGATAGGTTTAGCGATCTATGAAATCTAGATAGAATTCCATAAAGCTTAAAAGACTTTGAACTATTAATCTTCATTTTTGTTGGGTGCGGAAGCTTAATAGTGATAAGTAGGGAAATGTAGCCTGAGAAGGTATGTTTTACAACTTATGGAATTCGATTTTCAATCAAGTAATTAGAACTTGGGTAATAGATTCTATGATTTGAGTTAGCGGATCTAGGTGAAATCAACACCCTAGCATTTTTAGCATTGTTTAATTAATTAAGTTGTTGGGTTTTGCATTTGTTTTTAGTTTGTTAATCGTCCATCAATCCAATATATTATTGCTTCAATTAGGACTTTAACTAGAAAAATCGGTACTTAGTAATACTATCCTCGTGGGAACGATACTCACTCATCACTTTATTACTTAGTGCGACTAGTATACTTGCTACATATTGCATGTTGTAGGAAACACGCATCATTTCACCTCGAATCTTCACACTTTGTTTAATCCAAAATCACTCAAAAATGAATCTAAGAAAATGTAAAACTGTTGTCTATCTCTCCACGAACGCCCTAAACAAAAAGACTAAGTATTTCTCTTATACCTCGCCCAAAATCTTAAAACTTAGCCTAAAAATGAAACTGTGCGTTTTACAAAAACTGGAGAACGCAGACTTCACCGTGGCGATAAAGGACTGAATCTGGTGTGTGACTGGCCCATTTCGCCGCAGCAAAGCTTCCTGAAGAATTTTAAAATTACAGAATTGCCCTCCGCTTGCTTCTAAGTCCAAAAACTCCAAATCTGCCTTTATTCGCTCAAAATTTCCATTTTAACCTAAAACATGAAATGTAAGGAATTAAGTAGCAATTCAGGCAAAAATAACTAAGAAGTATCTGAAATCCAGCCTAAAAGCTCAAATAAACTAGTATAATCCCTGGATTATCATTCCTACACACAGCTCCAAACATCTAGACTTCACTATCCCTACACACAACTCCAAACATTCAGCTTTCAAATACAAGTTCAATCACACACACTCAACCCCATCTTATAGCTACTCCTGTATAGTCCCTAGACACAGCCCCAAACACTTCACAGTCCCTTCACCCTTCACACAACTCTAAATACATAGCTCTTTAACACAAAGTCAAAGGTTGCCAACACTTTACCTACATCTTTACACTGTACTGATCTTGTTGTACAAAATCTACCCATCATTACATCCTCAGATGCTCGACCCACTTGGTCACTTGAGGTTGATCTTACATCAACAAAGTTCTCTGATGTTCTTGTATCTAGTGTTCATGTTCTTGCCTCTTTTGGTTCCAACTTCCATCCCATGATAGCAAGAGCAAAATCAGTTGCAAATGCACTCCCTCATCAAGTCTACCTTACAACAAGTCCAAATGTAGTTGAATCTAAACCCTCTACAGTAGCTGAAGCATTTGTCAGTTCTGTTTGGAAAACAACTATGCAAGCTGAATTTGATGCACTTGTGCATAACAACACTTGGTCACTTGTCCCTTCCAAACCTGATATGAACATTGTAGGGAATAAGTGGGTGTTTAGAACCAAATATAATGCAGATGCAGATGGCACATTGCAAAAGTATAAAGCAAGATTGGTAGCTAAGGGTTTTCAACAAACACCCGGTCTAGATTATTTTGAGACTTTTAGTCCGGTGATTAAACCATCTACCATTCGAATTGTACTTACCTTGGTAGTAACCAATTCTGGGATGTTCAACAAATTGATGTGAACAATGCATTCCTAAATGGAACCTTGAATGAAACAGTGTATATGGCACAACCTCTTGGATTTGTATCAGCTGCTCATCCATCCTTTGTTTGCAAATCACACAAGGCTCTATATGGATTAAAACAGGCTCCTAAAGCCTAGTTTGATAAGCTTAAAGCTACTCTTCAAGCAAAAGGGTTCAAAAACTCCATTTCGGACTCTAGCATATTCATTCTACATTAGCCCTCAGGTCTAATCTATGTCTTGATATATGTCGATGATATCCTCATCATAGGAACAGATTCTAGCTATATTTCTCACCTGATGATAGAATTGAATGAGCAGTTTGCCTTGAAGACTCTTGGTTCCTTGGAATATTTCCTAGGGCTAGAAGCCAACAGAGGGTCTATTGGAATACACCTTAAACAGACCAAATATGCCTCAGATTTGTTAGAAAAAAACCAAAATGAGGGATGCCAATCCCTGCTCCACACCAATGGTTGTTGGTACAAAACTATTTGCTCGTGTTAGTCCCTTATTTGACCAACCAAGTCTCTATAGAAGCACCATAGGGGCACTACAGTATTTGACCCTTACAAGACCAGATATTAGCTTCCCTGCCAATCAGTTGAGTCAATTTTTACAAGCACCTACTGATCTACAGTGGCAAGCCTGCAAAAGAGTGCTTCGGTATATCAAAGGTACTCTATTCTATGGGCTTCAGCTCAAACCAGTGAGCACTCTTCATGTTGAGTGTTATACCGATGCTGATTGGGCTAGTAACCTGGATGATAGATGGTCAACTAGTGGTTATTGTGTCTACCTTGGTCCAAATTTGATTCAGTGGAGCTCTAGGAAACAAAAGGTAGTGGCTCTCTCCTCCACTGAAGCTGAATATAGAGCATTAGCTCTCTCCTTTACTAAAGTTCAATTACTGCATTTGATTGGTTGCTGGATCAGTTCAGAAGTTTTTTGAACTCAGAAGTGTATCAGTTGATTTGTTGCTACTGGATCAGTTCAAGATCAACTACTTTTTTTTTTTTTTTTTTGTTTGTTTGAATTACTGAATCAGTTAATTTGTTGCGACTGAATCAGTTTAGGATCAGCTCAGAATTTTTTTATATTAGTTGATTAGTTGCTACTAGATCAGCCCAGCATCAGTTCAGAGCTTTGTTTGTTAAAAATTTTGATTAATTCCTACTTTAGTCATTTTGCTCTAAATACAATCAGCTTACAGTCATACAGAATGTAGAATGCAGCCAGTTTTTATGGGTTATATTGTAGTCTAGATTGCTGATGCAAATGTGGTATAGTTGGTTTGTGGTTCCAGATTACAAAAACTGCTGTTACAGCTTCACTTATTCTACAAGTTTGGTTCAGCTTCCAGTCATAATTTGCTCAGTTGCTGAGTGATCAAATGTTGTAGATTTGGGCTATAAACTATTGCTCAACCATTTTGACAGCAATGTTCTAAAGCTTCCCAGTTTGGTTTGACGGGAAGTGTTGATAAAAAGGGATGAGAATGCAAAGAAGCTGAGTAGCAGGAGAAAACTGAACTTTGACAAAAGTGATGTCGTTTTGTCAAAGTTCAGATACCTTTATTTCATCTTCACAAAAGTGAAGTTGTTGTTGTAGTTTTCGTTTATCTGAAAACTGTATATAAGGGAAAGTTTTCCCTTTTTGTAATTACTTCTACACGAATTGAATAGATGCAAAATTCATTCTCTCTTATTTTTGTTTCGTGTTCTCTGAATCCTTACCATTGTTTGACAGACACAAGCATGGATTGATTTGATATTACCAGAAAAAATAGCTACTTGTGAAGAACAAAGCTAAAGTGGCACTATATAGGTGGAAGCTGACTCAGTAGACTCTTCTCAAGGTTCTTCTAGTGAAGGTTCATTTAGCGACATTCTTAACTTTTCAATGTAATTCTGTCTGGGGTAGGATTTATCCCAACACATGCATATAAATATCACCATTGTAGAGTATATTGAATATGAGCTAATATACAAAAAAGTTTTAATCCCTTTTCTTTCTTGCTTTCCTTTAATTATTTCACATCTGACCAATGGCGTTATGCTGCGTCATTTTTTCATAAGATTTTGTCCCTTAATTCTTTGTCTTGACCCAGTAAACCTATAGTGCTTGAATTTAGTTGAACCATGGAATGAATCATAATCACTATTGTTTTATATTTTTATTATTCTTTGGTAGCAGTTGAGCTATATAGTAATATAATATATGACCTTATATCTAGTACCACAACGATTTTCTACCTAAGGATAGAAAAAAATTGTAAAACAAATGTTTTAAAATTTGTCAGCTTTGAAATATATATACAACAACTGACTAGGTCAACTAAATGGCTTGAAAATGTATTTAACTACACATAGTAAGCTTGTATATAAAGCAAGGAGTTTGCTTGCAGTTGCAGCTCTTATTGGGTTAAATCAAGCTGAAGTGCTTTTGTTTCTGCTTCATATCAAGAGACTCTTTCGTTAGATTTTGCAAATCATCACACCATGTTTAGAGTGACTGATTGTGAAGGATATTCTTTCACCGAGGTATGTGACTGTGTTATATTTTCAGAGCAAAATTTTATTAATCACCTCTCTTTCGGCATAATCACCAGTGACCTCTGGTATACAGGGGAGTTAAAATCAGATTGCATGTCTTATGATTATTAATTTTTTTGGTTAAATTTCATATATTTGGCTTGGTTTTATATCATCATTTTTCATTTCTTTTTCTGCATATATATATGTTAGCGTAGGAACCAAGTTCTAGCAACAACAAATAATAAACAAAGATGAACAAAATGATTTAAGCATTAAACCATAAATGGAACCTGTCAAGGAATAAACTCTTTGAAGAATTTCAAAGCACAAACAAAATAATATCCAGGTTCAAAGATACAAGGAAGAAGAAGATGAGTTTAAATAATCCTTGCTTGACCAATCTCTTTAAGACAAGTGGTGGACAATCTCTTTCATCTTTTGTTGGGACCACAAACAAAAGCTTACCAACTTTGCAAGACCACAAGAGGAGAGGTGGATACCTATATATGAAGAGAAAATTCACACAAAAATTACGAAAGAGATAAAACTTGATGGGCAAGATAATATAAGAAAAACGCCACATGTGCAAAAAGAATCAAAGTACAAGCAAATATAGTATCAAAGGTTAGCTTTACAAATGAGCAAGAATGAAGATGGTATAGACCATTTTCATGCTCAACAATTCTTGCCAAGTCAGCAAACAAGGGCTCCACATGTTGGTCTAAAAATGGAAAAGAGTCCACCAATTTTTTTGGACCACAACCAAAAAGGGAAAAAACTTATTTCCCTGAACCACAAGAGGATAGTAGGACACATGTAGGTGGTCCTCATGACAGCACAACAGATGAACCAAAAACATCTCAGCTGATAAAGATAAAAACATAACTTGTGCAAAGTGAGTCAGACATGCAATGTTAGCATAGGAGAAAAGTGTGTGCACATATTTGCTCGACAATTCATTGTCCACCATAAAATAAGTTTGACAAAAATAGCAACAAGCTCTCCCTTTGTTAAACTTATGAACAAAACACCAAATTGATCAAAAGATCAATACATACTTGCCTCACAAAAACAATTAATCATCACAAATAAAGAGACAAATATCAACCAACAATAAGAGTGTCATACACAAATCATGAAAAGCAAACATGACACTAAAAACCATAAATGGATAAGCATATTTAAAAAACAAGGAAAAACAAACTCCTTCTAAAAGAGTCAACAGGAAACAAAAGTAAGTGGGCTTTGCAAAGAGGGGAAGATAGAGGAAGCTAATGGCTTGATGGAATTGATGAGTCAAAGAGGTTTGCAGCCTAATGTGGTGACGTTCACTACAATGATAAGTGGGCTTTGCAAGGTGGGGAAGATGGAGGAAGCTAACGGGTTGATGGAATTGATGAGTCAAAGAGGTTTGCAGCCTAATGTGGTGACGTTCACTACAATGATAAGTGGGCTTTGCAAGGTGGGGAAGATAGAGGAAACTAATGGGTTGTTTGAACTGATGAATCAAAAAGGGTTGCAACCTAATGTGGTGACTTTTAAATCAATGATAAATGGGCTTTGCAAAGAGGGGAATACGAAGGAAGTTAATGGGTTGTTAGAATTGATGAGTCAAAGAGGTTTGCAGCCTGATGTGGTGACATTTACTACACTGATAAATAGGCTTTGCAATAAGGGGAAGATAGAGAAAGCTAATAGGTTGTTGGAATTGATGAGTCAAATAGGTTTGCAACTTGATGTGGTGACATTTACTACAATGATAAATGGGCTTTGCAAGGACGGGAAGACGGAGGAAGCTAATGGGTTGTTGGAATTGATGAATCAAGAAGGTTTGCAGCCTAATTTGGTGACTTTTACTACAATGATAAATGGGCTTTGCACGGTGGGAAAGATGGAGGAAGCTAATAGGTTGTTCAAATTGATGAATCAAAGAGGTTTGCAACCTGATTTGGTGACTTTTAATACAATGATAAATGGCTTTCCAAGGAAGAGAAGATGGAGGAAGCCTATGGGTTGTTGGAATTGATGAGTCATAGAGGTTTGCAGTCTGATGTGGTGACATTTACTACAATGATAAGTGGGCTTCACAAGGACGGGAAGATGGCAGAAGCTAATGGGCTGTTGGAATTGATGAGTCAAAGTGATTTGCAGCCTATAATCTGATCTTTTAGTCTTGACCTTTATAAGTACCCACAGGCTGATTTGGTTTCTTTATGTGTTGCAGCCTTCGATCATAAGTCTTAACATATATAACCCTTTATATTATTTTTTAAGTTTTTAGCGTATTTCAATTTGTTATTGCTCACCTGAATTCGGACTCCTCTAATTATTTTAACACTTATTTTTGCAATGAATTCTGAATATTCTGAGAGTATAATGCCATAAGGGAAAGATGGCATTTGATTGTTTTTTCAAATATCTACCGCTAGGTGTTTAACCATGAAGGAAATTTTTAAGATAGCCATTTAGTAAATAGACATTTTTTCTTTGTTTAAATGCTCGTTTACCAAAGTTCTCTAAAAGCATGAAGCTAGAACTCCAAAATCCAATGGTTATTTTTTCTTTTATGGAACTTGTCCAACCTTGTGTTTGCTCAAATACTGCTATATTATCATGACTTGGTTCTTCTTTCTCTATTTTTTTAAGTATACTGCTTCTCCTAACCACTTTGAATAGAACTTCATGTAAAACCTACTTGATTTAAATTGGGAGAATCCTATGGTTTTATGAAAACATGTGCTATGGTTCGAATCCATAGTCAATCCTATTTATAGGAGCAGTAGACAATTGAATCCAATTTTTCCCATTAATTTCGTATCCATAATAGTGCAAAAGGAAGGCTCATCTCTGAGTTGTTCAAGAATAGAGGCGTTGAGTTCATTATTGTAACGACTCGATTCTTATAAAAACATGCACAGTGAAAATACACGTAACATAATGTAAAAAAGTTGGGCCCAAAATTTTTCTTTCACTAAACATATGCATTCTTTATACAAATATATACAAGGTTTGTGACATATGCAAAACTATCAAAAGAGGGTGGACAGTGTAGCCATTTCTCTTCGTGTGCCGATGTCCATCAGAATGTGTCCTCATCTAGAAACTGCAAAAACATAGGGAACAACTGGATGAGCACAAACAAGGCTCAGTAAGTAAACCCCTGAACTCAACTATCTCCGTAACTTTTCTTTAATCACTAGCTAATTACTCTTTCTCATAGCTCCTCTATACTAAATTTCTTTCTAGTAAGTCACGGCCCCATTGACCGGAGGCACGGTGGGACCGCTCCCACTCCGGTGACTTCACATCATTAGCCGATCAGACTTGGTTATGATGGATTCAGAACCTTGGCCATGTGAGTGCATAGAATCTCTCGGGTAAACTCGGGTATAGCCCTCATCCGCATGTACACTAC